GGAATAATGAGTAGAAAATAGAAAAATTGTACATATTTAGTACACACACAATTCTTATTTTGTAAGTTTTCTGTTTGTGGTTGATTGCATCTTAGAATGCAGAATGCATGTACTGTGGGCCTTATTGTGCTCACTATTCTAATTATATCCCTACATTGTGTTGCCCCTAATAAACCTGAAAATCTAGAAACATATACAAGAACCTTCCTGAGCATCACATACCCCTCTCTATTCCCATATGTTAATAAGTGTTGTTATTTACAGTGTTTGCATTTTGTATTCATGATGTTAATATTAAATTGGGCTTCAGAAATGCAGGCTTCAGGTTTCCCAAAGGCTAGAATTGATAAACTAAATAATGCAGTGTAGTGCACCAGAAAAATGTGGTAAATCTCTCCATTTAATGCTAGAAAAAGCAGTATAACAATGCTGACTCAGGAAGGAATATTGGAGATGAATGAGAGGACAGGCTGAATTCCACCTCACTCTTGTCCTAACTGGATGAGGTGTGTGGGGATATGCATACCAAACATCAGACTTGACCTAACAAGTGCCTGATGGATAATATGGACTCTCTGAATAAAATGCAATTTTATGACTGGCTTTTAAAATTCTATATGGAGACTTTTAAATAAAAAAATTTAAAGTATCAATAAATCAAACAAAACATCTTTTTTAAATTGAAGTACATTTCCTTTACAGTAGATGAAATATAAACAACACTTACCACTTCTCATTAATTATTCATTGGTAGTTGCCAAATTCGGAAACAGAGAACTAAAATTTGGCAATAGTATGTGCTAAGCCATTCTTGAGTGGTTATGCCAAAATGAACCCTAATATTATGAATAAGTATAACTCAAAAATAAGAAGTGTTTAATAAAGAGTATGTGCTTTGTAAGTGTCATTGGAAGACATCTCTTCCTACTATAGTTTGAGCATGTCTCTATAGCTGATGTTGTAGTGGATGGAATGTGGACATTTATTCTATTTATCTGTTGATTCATTTATGTTTGCGCTAATTTTGAGAGCATAAATTAGAAGGACTTAGTAAGCTATATTTTTATAAAAAAAGATGAAAGAAAAATATATTAATGTAAGAGATCCTCAGGTCCAGGGCAATGGGGACCTAAAACTATATATTTTAGAATTTCCAATAATTTTAAAATATCTTCAAAATGCAAGAAGCATCAGAACTAGACTGTTTTTACACTTCTCATGGAGTTTCACTTTCACCTTGGGGGGGTAGTGAATCCAACCAAATCTCTGCTGCTTACACAGCCAGCAGTTCTGTAACACCAGCATGAAAAGCAGGCAGAGAGCTGTGTGTTTGTGAGTGAATCAGTTAATTTTTCTGTTTTTTGAAGTTCCAATTTATCAATATTTCATAATATGTCACCAAAAAGTCTCTATTAAAAGATCATTAGTAAGAACATTGTGCCTAAGTTAAGAAACTAGAAACCAGCAAAAGAAATGAGATAACACCCCTTAGGAAAGTATTATCTTCTCTAATGTAAACTATACTTCAGTCTATGGCCTCCTGAAACTATAAAAGTCCCACCTAAAAAATCCCCAAATATGGATTTACATGACAGGAAGGTATAGAAGAAACAAGGGTGAAAATACATTCCAGAGAAGCACAGTACACACTCACCATCATAAATGTAAAATAGGAGTCCGTGATACGCATTGCAGTATTTCCGTCAGTGTGTCCTGCTACTATGGCCAGGGTAATGGAAATGGATGAAAAACCCAACGCCAAGAGGGTTAAGAACATGATGAAGAAAGTCTCTACTCCTGGCTTGGATACTTAAAAAAAGAAGGGATTAGTCCAGTGTAGCTCCCTGTGTATTAGAGGATATTTATTGTGCCAACATCAGTATAACATTGAGAAAACAGTACTAACAGGACAAAAAAGTCACCCACTATTCCAAACTATTTTATTGTTTCTGTGACATATCTAAGAGGGTGTATTTTCAGATTTAAGTCCTTATATACAAATTGCCACATGGTTCTATGGTTCAGAATAGGACTCTTAAATTTCTTAAACTACTTTATAATTATCACGAGTTAATGTACTATGTCACATGATCTGAAGATTTGGGAACGGCTACAAGAACACTGATGAGAAATCTAGGGCTCTAGATCTCCTGCCTAATTCTTATGCCATAAGTATTATTTGTAAAATGGAAGGTTGTAAACTCCATTATTGATTCAAATTCTATAATGTATTATCAAAGAAATTTCTGATGTGTGTGAATGTGTGTGTGCGGGGTAAGTATTTATCTGTAAAACATATATAAATGATAATTCAATAAGTCTGGGGTGAAGCCAGAACATAATGCAAAAATGATATTGTCTACTTCATCAAACAAGTAATTTCATTAAATCAATAAACCCCCAAGTTACCATCTTCCTCTCATTTGAAAAGTGAGCAGGGAGAGAATATATGTGTATGAAGATTTTTTTTGTGTGTCTCTCTATGTGTCTCTACAGATACTATAGATGTTACTGCCTATTTATATTCCATATCTATATTGAGATACATGTCGAGAGAGAAAAACAGTAGAAAAAGACAATAAATAGTCCAGCTCCTCTAGCACAGTTTCAAATACTTTTAAAAAGTCAGTCTATGTTTGTGTAAGACAAATAGCATCTGTATTGTTTTATAGGTGGCAACAGGTATAGTTTTATAAGCAATTTCAAAAAGTTCATTTAGAAAGTCTAGAAAAGTATGTACTCAATATTTTAGAGAGTATACATTAGATGTGTGCTTTCTCCATTATAGCTTGTTTTTATAGTTTTGGGATCCCAAAACATGTTTGCAAACAGAAGTTAACTTCTCCATATATCCAAGAGTAAAGACATCCTCTTTGTCTTGATACTTACCGACTATGAAGTATAGTGTACAAATACATACAAAACTTGTCAAGAACATCTCAAGTAGTAGATCAGACAAAAGACTTCCAAAGAAATAAGATGACACTCTGTAATACCCACTGGAGGACTCATGTCTATAGAATACAAATATATACCAACACGCCAGGTTAGTTTACAAAAGGAGAGCCCAGAGGAGATGCTGCTGTGCAGACTCTTGCTGCCACCAGGCCTAACCCTGCAGCTGCCCACAGGCCCTGGGCTGATTTCCCAGGCCCTTCCCCCATCAGGTGCAGCCCCCATGGGATATCAGCACCTCTCCTGCTGCTGCCCACTCTGGCCCCATATAACCCTTCTAGCAATGCAGAGTCTGCATCTCCTCACTCTCCTCAGAGACTCTGCTTTCCCTCTGAGGCTGGCTCCTCGGGAAGAAAGGGCTAATCTCAGTGGTACAAGGGACTATCTTCTCCTCACTTTGCAATGTGAAGGTGATGTTGTTACCCTCCAAGCCGCCAATGTAGCTGAATATCCCCCAAACTCTTTTCAATTCCATTCTCATGTTAAAACATGAAAATTATTTCTTTCTTTAGTGATCATGCTTTCCAACAATACATCCTTATTAGATACCAAATCTTAATCTTTGCTCTTCCAAACATTTCTCTTTCCAAATTCCAAACTGTTTTATTCATGTCTTCATTCCTTTCCTTTCTGATGATTCCTGTCCTGGGAATGTGGGCATTGGCAAGTCTCCTCCATCTTTGAACAATATAGGGAATAAAAGCAACCTGCTCTTTCCTGTAAGGCTGCCCTCTGGCTCTCTCCACTCTGTGACCTTCTCAGGGCTGCGCTTGGCCACGTACTTTGTTAACTTCATATCTCATCTCCAATTTGCTGCTAATGCAACACTTAAATGCCTACCAAATCCCCTGAATTTTTCTTGAGAGGGTCCTTATGACATATTACTTTATAAAAACAAAAGACACATCTTACTCTCTTTACACCTCACTTTCTCTGAAGAATTGGGATTAGTCGACCACACCTCAACCTTGACATTTCTTTTTCCTGGGTAGCAGGCCTCACATGCTTTTGATTTTCCACTCCATTGAAGACTGCTTTTCTCAGTTAATATTGGTAATCCTTATATATACTTCAAAAGTTTGTGTTGTTCATGATAAATATATTCAATTTAAATTTCAATTTAAATAATAAGGAATGGAATAGTAATTAAAAGGAAATAAATTTTCCAGTAATCCCCATTATCAAATCCCTGGCCCAGTACAGGATGGAAACAGTTTGGCCACAAGCCAACAGTGCTCTTTCCCTGAATAGAGGCCAACTCACACAAAACGCTTTTTCTGGAGCACAAAGTGCTGCACCGTCCATTTGCTGAAGCCACACTGGTAGGACATTAGGTAGAAGAGCATCAGTGCTCTGTCAGGAAAGAATGGGGATAAAAGCAGCTCAGTCAAGTCACACTGTTAGGGTGGTAGAACTCTTTCCAGAGTAGAACTCTTCTGGTTTAAACAGACAGGAAAGCATCACCTCATCAGGTCTCTCCCTGTGTGTTCTCGGTGGGGCCCTAGTTACTCCACATTATAGCACATATTGAAATTTCTGTATGGTTTGCTGTGCACTGACTTGTATTCACTAATTTTTGTTTTTATTTATGTTAGAGAAATAACCCCGAAGGCCATGGTGCTAGGAAGTATGTCCTTAGGGGAGTATAAGGTTTAGATGAAGTTATGAGGGTGGAGCCCCTGTGATGTGATTGGTGCCCTTGTAAGAAGAAGGAACAGCAACACTCTGTGCTATGAGAGATACGGAGGGAAGGAGCCCTCTACAGTCAGGGAGGGACCCTCACAGAAGCCTGACCTGCTGGAAGGGGGCTCTGACCCCAGACTTCCAGACTGTACAATTGAAACAAAATGAAGGTTTCTCATGTAAGTAACTGAGTCTATGATGCTTTGCTATTACAACCTGAGCTAATGCTTAGATCAGAAAAATACTCTCATCTTCAGTTTAACTCACAAAAATGCTGAGTATAATTGCTAATATATGAAGAGAAACATTAAGTGAAATAAAGCTCCAAAGGGTTAAGGTATTCAATTTCCCAATTTGGTTTTAAAGTGAAGTAACAAGAGATTAGGGCATGTGGAGGAAAATGCCAGAGAGTGGAGGGCACCCACCCAGGACCATCCGAAAGCCTGGACACCATCCTTGAGGTGGGATAGCCTATGGAGTTTCCAAAGTGATAAAAAGGACATCAAACTGATGCTTATTCATAA